CTATCATTGGGCCATATAGGTTCACTCCATATTCCTGCTATTCTTCATTTAAAGTGTTACATGGGAATTCTACTTTACTTCTGCTTATATTTTAGAGTACATCTACAAATCAGTGAGCTTTTGGAAAAAAAGTCTATGTGTTGCAGATCGTATTTACATGCATATATACATAACTATTTATAGAGGATATTGAAATGGTGGAAAGAATTATTCACTGACCTGTTTTTCTGTCGTTTGCCAAGAATACTTTCCCAAATCCACCTTCTCCAAGTTTCTTCACAATGTGGACGTGCTTCTCTAAGTCTATCTTCTTTAATCCTCGGGAATAGAAGGAGACCTTTCTATCCAGAAGACGTTCCACATAATAAGCACTGGAGGCCATAGTGTCCTGGAGAGAAAAAAAAGAAAAGGATGAAAGTGACCTTACCTTAATGTGGTGAAGATTCCGCTGTGATGAAGTCAAATCAGTTTTCTTTGAGTATTGGGTTCCTCTGCAGATCAGCTCCGGACAACGTCACCAAATCTCCAGCTGGGCTGTAGTAGATGAGTATACCGGAATCTCTGGAAGTAGAGTCACTGATTAGAGGAGGGAGAGGCCCGCTTTATACAAGGGAGATGGGCGGGGAAAGGCAGAGAAGGGAGGTTTTTGATTGGTTGACTTCTAATAGAAATGTTGTGTAAATAAACCCGGACTGTTGTTGCTGATTTGCATATTAAAAGATTTTCTAGAGAATAGGTGATACAATTAAACATGATGAAACCCAAGAATGTTGAAACTTTACTGAATTTTAAAATGAAACTTTCCACCATATTAACAATGAAATGGAAAATTAGTTTTATTTTATAAGATTTATATTTTTAGAAGAACTTAGAATTTTAAAAAAACTAATGCAAGAGTGAGTACTAACCAGATAATGAAATATGAAAAAAACGAAAAAAATCTCATTGTCACAATGGCTGTAGGTTCTTACTGTTCTTTTATACCATTAGGTCTTATTTCTGGCAGCATTGTACACCAATGGGGTTAGTTTAAAAATGACTTGATTGAAAATAAAAAATAAATGACTATAAACTGTAATCAATAGAAAACGAGTTTGCAGGATTAAAAGGACCTGTCAGGATAGAAATATTGGAGCTTCCATGTCTGAGCTTATTTCTGGAGATTCATCTCCAAACATCCTCATCATTTCTTCACTACTTGGTGGGTCAGTGACCTAGAACAAGCCATGTGTAGATCAAGTAATGGAAAATATCATACTGACATGATGTTCTGGGTGAATGACAAACCAAGTGTTGAGGCAAGGAACCCAGATCTGTAGATATTTAGATATCCCATAAATATGTTGGAAGAACCATTAAAAACAATTCAATTGAATGGGGGAGGATATCAGAAGGCATTTTTGGGTTTAATTTGATATGTTTAAAAATGTGCTCAACTTACTTCAATTTCTTAGGTTTGGGTTTTTGTTGGTGACATAATTTTATGAGAAAGAAGCAATTTCTGCCACTGACACCAATGATCTTTTCAAGCTATCTGTAGGTGGCATTTTCTTCCATTGACCACAAATGTAAGGAACATTCTTCCCACTGACCATCACACTAATGTACACGGAGATGAAGCTCTATCTATTATTAGCAGAGGTTCTCTGAGACTTGGAAGTTATGTCAAAGGTTCCTCCTTGTTGAAAAAGTTGAGAATGGATGGCATAGACACTCTTTCTACAAAATGTAAATCATTTAGATTTGTATATGACAATGTTCAGCTTAAAGTGGAATTACACATAATGGTCCCCATGAGTTACAATCTACGTTTATGTGACATCTCCATTGACAGGTGTAAATAATCTGATAACAAGAAATATATTTTATTTAGAGTTTGATGGATGTGGTTGTGTAATATATGTTGTCTTATCTGTCCAAGTTCTGAAGAAAGATGGGAATTGTTTGATATTCTATTATTAATTACAGGTGATACTGTATGCCTGAAAGTGTGACAATAGGTGGAGACTATCCAGTGCCTGGGTAGTTATCTAGACAATGGGATCCAAATCTTTGTTTTCCAGATATCCATTTCAAAGGATCCTCTTGGTTAGATATGCAATACGGGTGTCCAGCCTTCCAGGAATGCATAACTTGACCATTGGAGACCCTGTAATTCTTGCTCCAAAAAAATGTGCTGAAAGGTTGCTGAGACAATGAACTCTCTGGGATCTATAATCTCTAGTGGTATAATTTAGTAAAGTATATTGATTGGGTAACTTAATTTGTGACCACTTGTCAGAAGACTCAACTGAGGGTTTCAGTGCAACATAGTGGGTATTAGAAGACCTCCAAAACAAACAGGGAGGATACACCACAGAATTGTTTTTCAATATTTAGATCTCCCATAAATATATTGGAAGAACCATTAAACACAGTTCAATTTAATGGGGAGGATATCAGTAGTGGGAATTTTTGGTTTAATTGATTTGTTTAAAATGTGCTCAACTTACTTCAGTTTCTTGGGTTTGTGTTTTTGTTGGTGACATATTTTTATTAAGAAGGAATTGAAAGATTGTTTTTTTTCCTAAAGTTTTTACTTATTTTTTCTCACTATGATATTTTTTTTTTTATAAGGTAAAAAAGCTTGACTTTTTTTAATAAAAGCCTTAGAGAGTTTTTTCATTATTTAAATTTTGTGTCACTGAAATGCATTGGGGTTGATTTATAAAAACTGGAGAGTGAAAAATCTGGTGCAACTTTGCATGGTAGCCAATCAGCTTCTAACTTCAGCTCATTCAATTAAGCTTTGACACAAACAAAACTGGAAGCTGATTGGTTTTCTATGCAGGGATGCACCAGATTTTGCACTCTCCGGTTTTACTAAATCAACCCCATTGCATTTTGCAGGAAAGTGAAACTAGGAGAAAACTTATGGAGATGATTTTAATGTTTTAAGCATTCTCATTGCTGGGAAAGTGGAAACGAATTCATTACTTCCAATTATTTTAAATAGATGAGTTTTGGTCTTTCTGTGCAAGGCTAAAAAACGTTCTAGGGTATGGAGCTGTGTATGTGTGGTCAGTTTAGCAGATACGTATTTGTTGGATTGTGTTTTTAATATCTGTTACATCTAGAATACATTATTATAAGTTGAGGTTGACTTTTGAGGTGTACTGCCCCCCTAACATTGGCTGTTGAATTGCTTGTGGTAGTTATTAGCATAACTGTTAGGAATGGACTGGCCAGCAATGTTGGGACTCACCTGCCTTTTGATCTGCAGTACCAGGGCTGGCCAGCGGGTGCTCCCAGCAATCAGAGACTCAACCTTTCAGCCAGCTAAACACCTGGAACTGATGATGCTGGGGTATTTAAGGGATGGCCAGACCCACAGACTCTGCCTTGGTGTTGTGTTTCTCTTGGCCCTGTATCCTGTTCCTGCTCTCTGTTCCTGTCTGATTCTCTGCTACCTGTCCTGATCCCTGGCTTGTGACCCTGACCATCTCTCTGCTTGACCCTCTGTACTACGCTGCTTGCTACCTGCTGAACCTGGCCTGTGACCCCGACCATTCTCTGCTTGCTCCCCCTGTACCTACCTGCCCTATTGATATTGACCCGGCCTGCCTGACGACGCTTGCTTGTATATACTGTTATCTGTGGGTGGTTGGTTTGGTTTGTTTGCACTGTGTTATGTTTTAGTATTGCACTGCGTTTATGTTTGTATTGTTAGTGTTAATAAATTGTATTGTTTATCACATATCTGAAGTCTGCGTTTCCCTGCATCAGTCACACACCTCTGGTCATACCTGGGAGCCCTGACATTACACCAAGGCCAATCCTGACCAGAAGTGGCTGCACAGGGAAGCCATCTTGGCTTGTTGATGGGAAGGATGGATCTGGATGAGGTTGAATATTTATATCTGCTAGTGTTTGATGACAGGGAGTATGCTTATCAGACTCTGAAGGAGTATACCCGGGATGAACTGCTAGAATGTATACGGCTCGCTCATGTTCTAGTAGATCAGGGCACAGAGTTCTCTGAGGTGCAGCCTTTGATAGAAGTTTGTGCTGAGTTGGTTTCATCTGGTTCCCCCGAATGCAGGGATGAATTTTTGCCGCCATTTTAGTGCCGACCAGGTAGAGTCCCTGGTGTGGTTATTAGAGGATGATGTGGGTTACTTTCTGGAGCGTTATTCCACATGTTCACCACAGACACTAAGAGATTGTATAAACGCAGTACAGTCATTGACCAGACAGGCTTTGTGTAAGCTCAGCTTTGTTCAACCCCTACTGCAGACATGGACAGATTTGTTGCACCCAGCCTCAGTCAGCTTACAAAAACCCAGTCCTGCTTCTAATCTATTTCCTCAAAACTCTATTCCTGCATTCCCAACAGCTCCTCCTGCCCTGCTATCTACCGCATGTCAGTCCCCTGTTCCCACTCGCTGCACCTATCCTGCCTTTAACCCTGTAAAAGAGCCCTCTGTAGCAACCGCTCCCTCTCCTGTTCCATCCTCCAGTTCTTCTCTGTCTCCAGCTGCTCCATCCGTTTGCAGACCTGCGTTTACTTGCAGTGCTCCAGTAGTTAAAACCAGAAAAAAGCGAAAATTCTTTCCAACCAATACCATCCTGCCAGTATCCAAACCGGTGAGCCTGCCTTCCGTGGTTCAGCCTGAAGCCTCTCTTCAGCCTGATGCCGGTACGCAGCCTGATGCCTCTCTTCAGCCTGATGCCTGTACGCAGCCTGATGCCTCTCTTCAGCCTGATGCCTCTACTCGGCCTAAAGCCTCTACTCGGCCTGAAGCCTCTACTCGGCCTGATGCCTCTACTCGGCCTGAAGCCTCTACTCGGCCTGATGCCTCTACTCGGCCTGAAGCCTCTACTCGGCCTGATGCCTCTACTCGGCCTGAAGCCTCTACTCGGCCTGAAGCCTCTACTCGGCCTGAGCCTCTACTCGGCCTGATGCCTCTACTCGGCCTGAAGCCTCTACTCGGCCTGAAGCCTCTACTCGGCATGATGAACTGATCCAGCCTGACGATCCTATTAGGCCAGTTGACTCGATGCCCGCTGTTGATCCAGATGATCCGGTACCTGATCCGGTGCCCGCTGTCGAGCCAAATGACCTGATGCCTGGTGACCCGATGCCCGCTGTCGAGCCAGACAATCCGGTACCTGATGACCCGGTGCTCACTGTCGTGCCTGTTGACTCGGAGCCCACTGCCTTGCCAGATGACGCGGTGCCCGCTGTCAAGCCAAATGACCTGATGCCTGGTGACCCAGTGCCCGCTGTCCAGCCAGACGATCCAATGTCTGACCCAGGGCCCGCGGTCATACCAGTTGACTCGGCGCCCACTGCCTTGCCAGATGACGCGGTGCCCGCTGTCGAGCCAGACAATCCGGTACCTGATGACCCGGTGCTCACTGTCGTGCCTGTTGACTCGGAGCCCACTGCCTTGCCAGATGACGCGGTGCCCGCTGTCAAGCCAAATGACCTGATGCCTGGTGACCCGATGCCCGCTGTCCAGCCAGACGATCCAATGTCTGACCCAATGCCAGCGGTCATCCCAGTTGACTCGGAGCCCACGGTTGTGCTTGGTGACTCGGTGCCCGCCGCCCCGCCTGGGGGCCTGAGACCTGTCGCTCCTCCTGGGGGTCCGGCGCCCGCCGCTCCGCCTGAGGGCCCGAGAGACCTGTCGCTCCATCTGGGGGTCCGGCGCCCGCCGCTCCGCCTGAGGGTCCGAGACCTGTCGCTCCGCCTGGGGGTCCGGCGCCCGCCGCTCCGCTTGAGGGCCCGAGACCTGTCGCTCCTCCTGGGGGTCCGGCGCCCGCCGCTCCGCCTGAGGGCCCGAGACCTGTCGCTCCGCCTGGGGGTCCGGCGCCCGCCGCTCCGCCTGAGGGCCCGAGACCTGTCGCTCCGCCTGGGGGTCCGGCGCCCGCCGCTCCGCCTGAGGGCCCGAGACCTGTCGCTCCGCCTGGGGGTCCGGCGCCCGCCGCTCCGCCTGAGGGCCCGAGACCTGTCGCTCCATCTGGGGATCTGGCGCCCGCGCCGCTCCGCCTGAGGGCCCGAGACCTGTCGCTCCGCCTGGGGGTCCGGCGCCCGCCGCCCCGCCTGGGGGCACGATGCCTGTCGCCCCGCCTGGGGGCACGATGCCTGTCGCCCCGCCTGGGGGCACGATGCCTGTCGCCCCGATGCCTGTCGCCCCGCCTGGGGGCCCGATGCCTGTCGCCCCGATGCCTGTCGCCCCGATGCCTGTCGCCCCGCCTGGGGGCCCGATGCCTGTCGCCCCGCCTGGGGGCCCGGCGCCCGCCGCCCCTCCTGGGGGCCCGGCGCCCGCCGCCCCTCCTGGGGGCCCGGCGCCCGCCGCCCCTCCTGGGGGCCCGGCGCGCCGCCCCCCTCCTGGGGGCCCGGCGCCCGCCGCCCCGCCCGGGGGCCCGACGCCGGTCGCCCCGCCCGGGGGCCCGACGCCTGCTGCTCCGCCCGGGGGCCCGGTGCCTGCTGCTCCGCCCGGGGGCCCGGTGCCTGCTGCTCCGCCCGGGGGCCCGGTGCCTGCTGCTCCGCCCGGTGGCCCGCTGCCTGCTGCTCCGCCCGGGGGCCCGGTGCCTGCTGCTCCGCCCGGTGGCCCGCTGCCTGCTGCTTCGCCTGGTAAACCGATGTGCCTCTGCCCGGAGTCCTGCCCGATGTGCCTCTGCCCGGAGTCCTGCCCGATGTGCCTCTGCCCGGAGTCCTGCCCGATGTGCCTCTGCCCGGAGTCCTGCCCGATGTGCCTCTGCCCGAAGTCCTGCCCGATGTGCCTCTGCCCGGAGTCCTGCCCGATGTGCCTCTGCCCGGAGTCCTGCCCGGAGTCCTGCCCGATGTGCCTCTGCCCGATGTGCCTCTGCCCGATGTGCCTCTGCCCGGTGTGCCTCTGCCCGGTGTGCCTCTGCCCGGTGTGCCTCTGCTCGGAGTCCTGCCCGATGTGCCTCTGCCCGATGTGCCTCTGCCCGATGTGCCTCTGCCCGGTGTGCCTCTGCCCGGTGTGCCTCTGCTCGATGTGCCTCTGCCCGGAGTCCTGCCCGATGTGCCTCTGCCCGGTGTGCCTCTGCCCGGAGTCCAGCCCGGTGTGCCTCTGCCCGGAGTCCAGCCCGGTGTGCCTCTGCCCGGAGTCCAGCCCGGTGTGCCTCTGCCCAGGAGTCCAGCCCGGTGTGCCTCTGCCCAGGAGTCCAGCCCGGTGTGCCTCTGCCCAGGAGTCCAGCCCGGTGTGCCTCTGCCCAGGAGTCCAGCCCGGTGTGCCTCTGCCCAGGAGTCCAGCCCGGTGTGCCTCTGCCCAGGAGTCCAGCCCGGTGTGCCTCTGCCCAGGAGTCCAGCCCGGTGTGCCTCTGCCCAGGAGTCCAGCCCGGTGTGCCTCTGCCCAGGAGTCCAGCCCGGTGTGCCTCTGCCCAGGAGTCCAGCCCGGTGTGCCTCTGCCCGGAGTCCAGCCCGGCGTGCCAGTCTTTGATATCCCGCCAGTTACCAGACCCGGGCGGTGGAACATTTTGCCCAGCTAGGACTGTTTGGAGCGTCCTGAGGCCGCTCCTTGGGGGGGGGGTACTGTTAGGAATGGACTGGCCAGCAATGGTGGGACTCACCTGCCTTTTGATCTGCAGTACCAGGGCTGGCCAGCGGGTGCTCCCAGCAATCAGAGACTCAACCTTTCAGCCAGCTAAACACCTGGAACTGATGATGCTGGGGTATTTAAGGGATGGCCAGACCCACAGACTCTGCCTTGGTGTTGTGTTTCTCTTGGCCCTGTATCCTGTTCCTGCTCTCTGTTCCTGTCTGATTCTCTGCTACCTGTCCTGATCCCTGGCTTGTGACCCTGACCATCTCTCTGCTTGACCCTCTGTACTACGCTGCTTGCTACCTGCTGAACCTGGCCTGTGACCCCGACCATTCTCTGCTTGCTCCCCCTGTACCTACCTGCCCTATTGATATTGACCCGGCCTGCCTAACGACGCTTGCTTGTATATACTGTTATCTGTGGGTGGTTGGTTTGGTTTGTTTGCACTGTGTTATGTTTTAGTATTGCACTGCGTTTATGTTTGTATTGTTAGTGTTAATAAATTTTATTGTTTATCACATATCTGAAGTCTGCATTTCCCTGCATCAGTCACACACCTCTGGTCATACCTGGGAGCCCTGACAATAACACTGCCAATGTTTACTGTTCCTATTGTCCTCCTGGGGGGTCCACCTGTACTATTGTTCATTCCATGCTTACTGTACATACAGGATCCCATCACCATTGTTCATCATGTCCCCTCTGTCTATTGACTATCAGGTGTTGGCTATTCAAAGTAGACACCATTGTTATTCTAAATTTTGTGCCTCAATCCTTTCTATGGAATATTCCAGTCTTAGAACATTGTGGGATACGTTTTTTTTTTTTTTTTTTTGGTGGTGGTGTACTGTTGAATAGCTACTAAAAATTTTGAGCTTTATGGGGAAGTTGATGGACAAGATTGGTAAAGTTGAAGAAAGGACTGAAATGATAAAAGTAATGAAGGAAGCCCATGGCACCAGACACAGGAGGATGTGAAATTAAGGCTTATCGATAAAATTCAGTAAATGTGATGGAAAGACAAGACTAACATTTGCTGCTGTTGGATGGTTGAGCAATGTGAACATTTAAAGGTTCAAAAAGAAGAACTTTGAATGAGTATCTTTGGATACCCAGGCCTCCTATCCCTCTTGCATTGAACTGTATTGTTGCTGTATTGTCTCCCGTTATATTGTAAAGCGCTGAGCAAAACTGCTGGCGCTCTATAAATCCTGTATAATAATAATAATTTGTGCTCACACTAATAAAGTATATTTTCAGGTATCCAGGAAAGCTGATCCAAAGGACTTAACTAAGTCAGCTATACCAAATTAAAATCTTTATGGAAGGATGTTCAAGAAAAAAGTGCAACATGATCAGATCGCATTTCAGACTTATTTATTATTGGACTACTGAGAACTGTGATCTGTGATTTTTTTTTTCTTTTGTGATTATGAACTTAGTACATCCAGAGCAAATGATGGACTACAGATATTGAGATCCAGATCTATGGAAGAGAGATCACAGAGCTGTACTGGAGTCTATCTCCATGCTGCCTGCCAATGGGGTCCAATCTGCCTCCATTCTGCCTGGCTATGGGGTCTAGTCCCCCTCCCTGCTGCCTGCCTATGGGGTCTAGTCCCCCTCCCTGCTGAATGCCTATGGGGTCTAGTCCCCCTCCCTGCTGCCTTCCAAAGGGGTCCAATGTGTCAGTAGACATCATTTTGTGCTTAAAGAGTCTTCAGAATACAAAGGCAAAACTATAAATCGTAAAGGAGATTGCATATAAACCAATATTACATGTGTGGTCTGGTTTTACTGGCTACAAGGGGGTGACTGTTACAATATGAGTTTATGTGAAATCTCCATTGGTAGATATCAATAGTTCTTGTACTGAGAAATATATATTAGCTAGAGTTTGATCAATGTGGTTGTGTAATACGTCTTATATTGTATGTCCGGGTTATGAAGATAGATGGGAATTGTTTGATTTAAATGTAAGCTGCCAAGGGGCGATATTCTATTAATTACAGGTGATACTGTATGACATAACAATAGACCGGGGTGCAGGAAGGTAGTCATATTGGCTCATTATAAGGAGAATCTGATTCCATCTTATCATATTTGTTGTAATTCACCTCTTCTCATTATTGTTCTACCTGTCTGAACAGACTGAATAAAATCAATACACTTGCTGTGTAGCTTCCCCCTCATGTCAGCTGTTGTTCATCAAGGAGGTCTACTGCATGGAGATGGTCACTAAAAGAAGCACCTAAAATCTGAAATGTAGTGAAAAATATAAAACAAATTATGTAACAATTTAGGTAAATGTAACAATACAATAGAGATTGTGATATTCACTAAAATACACTTTGGTTTTGCTTCATAGCAAAATGTAGTTGCTAAATATAGAGAGAACTTTTACCCCCAGGACTGAACTGACCATAATAATGGTGATGGACTTGTGAACTGATATGGTAAAGAGGAGGTAGAACACCTGGCTGATGTGTGACTGATGATACTGTTCCCATCACAATGGACATATTTATGGAAGCCACCCTCCATTGTTGGGACTAGGGGTGTCCAACTGTGGCCCTCAGGACTGCCAATTTTGCATGATAATCTTAGTATTGGAAGGGACACAACTGCTTACATTAGCAACCATTGCAAGAGTTGCCATAAACATCAACAACGCAACTATTACACAGGTCTGCAAAAAATACATATCAGACCAGTTGGACAACTAAAATACCTTAAGATACATGCATCTGCACAAAGGCAATGGGAGGGAGCATCCGGGCATACCATGAGAGGCCAGTCAATGAGGGGACCCCACAAAGTTGGGGGGGGGGCAAGCCGCCTGCCCTGTGTAAATACCT